TTGCACCCGCTTGGCGGGGCCAGGGCCCGCAGAATTAGCACCCCCACCGAAAGAACAATCTGTCGGATCCGCGTCGAATCAGAATCGAACGTCGCATCCGCGGCGAATCCACGTCGCATCCACCTCGACTCCGCGTCGAACCCACGCCGCATCCGCGTCGAGCCCGCGTCGAAGACAAGGAGAGGACCGCAATGTTGTCAGGACAGTACCAACGGCGCCCCATCGCCCAGTGCGTCCCCAGGATCTCCAGGGAGGCCCCCACAGCATGGACAATTAGGTCTTAGTCCCCTCCCTGAAGAAGGGGGTTTGGGAGATAAATGGAGCATCTTGTGACTGTGGTGTCCTGCTCACTCCTTGAGGAGAGCCCATACAGCCGAAATTGCTCGCATGGTTTCTTTTACCAATTTTACCGAAGGGCTGGAGGAATCGAACAGTGAGGAGGAACAAATGCACATCCATGTCTGCTGGCTGCTCAGGGGCAAGCTCCAGGGCACCCCGATAAACTCTCAGCACAATCACATGGAAGTACTCCGCAGTAGATGATCGAAGCGTCGCTTCAAGCGCTTCCCCTGGGGGCGCGCCTGGGGGTTAACGCATTGTCACTGAACAGATGGGCTAATGTTGAAAGAAACATGTTTGCACCACTTCGGCTTGAATTGCGAATCGGATGGCGCTGCTGCTCACCCGTGCCTCCGACTTTCTTATTGATAGTTGTGACATCTCTCGGGGCCGTTCGGAGAAAACAAAAATACATGTCATTTCAATGAGCGCGTCCGCTCTCAATGTTAAGGTCGGGGGCGGGGGGATCGTATCATCAATTGTCGTGCCGCCCAGGTGGTGCAAACTTGTTCCTTTCAACCGTATCATTTTCAAGGTCGCCAAGCAAGGAAGGCGAAGTGAAGCTCCGCTGCCTTCACGAAATTGTCGAATTCCTGGACCTGGCCCTTGTACTGCTCGGAGGTCCACACAAGTGTGCCACCCTCGGCGAGGCACAAACAAACCAAGCTGCCTCGCTTGAGGCCGCAAAAAAAATCAAAACAAGCACCCAGGCATCAGAAAACCTGCCGTGCATGTTCCAAGCGGGACGGGCACACTAGGCTTAGGTCGGGCATGTCCCCCTGCAGGTGGATTTCGGACGAAAAATTAAAAAATAGCCAAACAATGTTCAAAAATAGCAGAACACATCGAAAAATCGTCCCCTGACTAGTTCTTGACTATTTTTGAATAATCTTCCTGTAGAGAGACAAGCCCGACTTCACACTAGGTGATCAAAACCGCACCGAACGGATCGGGCAAGAGAAGGCTGTCACCGTCAACGAGTCCGTGAGCTGCCATGCAATGCCATCCCAAACAAGGGGTCTGCTTCTTCACGCTGGGAGCCACCCTGGAAGCAGCGATTGCGAGCGGTGGTCACCAGGACAATTTGACTGGCATGGTTGATCGCAAGCAAGCCCTTGCCATTGCCCACCCTGCTGGATCTGGTCCGGGCCAGAAGCCGCTATCAGCTCCACTTGCTAAACCCTCCGCACCGGCAGGGAGGGCAGGGCCCGGACCGATGTCTCGAAGCAACCGGCTCGCTTGACAAGGCTCCAAGACGCCTCTCGGGGGTTGCTGCTACGGGTGCCCCTGGCCCAAGGGTCCCCCGGCTTCGCTCCATTTTGGAACCCCATGGGGCCCTCTGGACCTCGTGAGGGGTGCTCTGGAGGCCGTGGGGGCCTCTTTGGAAATCCTGGCGCAGCACCCGAAGCGTGATACAATCTGGCAGCCCCTGGGAGAGCTGGGGTGGGAGAATGCCCGCAGGGCCCGAGCGCCGGAGCGCGCGCAATATGCAGAGGACACCTCCTGAGGCCGTCCGAACACACGGCATGACTGTGTCGTGACGACTTGCGCGTTGGCTTCTGACACCGCGTAGGTCATTCAACCTTGAACGTCCGCAGCTCTCCGACAGCGCAGATCGCTCGATGTCGGTCGATCCTGGGCCATGGGCGCTCAACCTTGAACGCCCGCGTCGAAGTCGCGGCCGCGTTGGCGCGGCACGAACCTGCCGCAACCCCGTCCCCTCATCCCCTCCAGGGACGGGAGAGCCACGCGAAGAGTTAGCATGAAAGAGACGGGTCCTGAGGGGAACGGGTCCTGGCCCCTGGGGCCTTCCACAGGAACGCCAGACCGCTCCGTTGACGGCCACGGCGCCGGGAGAGGGCGCCAGGAACCCGACGACGGCGAAAAACCTGAGGACCCCCTTCCCTCAGAAGCCGTTTGCTTCAGTGCGCGCGAAGAAGCATGAGGCGACGACGATGACGACGATGACGACGACAGCGACGACGATGACGACGACGAGGACGACGACGACGAGCACCATGACGAGGACGAGGACGAGGACAATGACGACGACGACGAGGATGACGACGAGGACGAGGACGAGGACGAGGACGAGGACGAGGACGAGGAAGAGGACGACGACGACGACGACGACAACGACGACGACGACGACGACGACGACGACGACGGCGGGGGATCCGCGATCCGAGGCTCCCGATCGGAGGGCGCGGGCGGCGTGCGGGCACGACCGGAGCGGCCCGGGGCCCCCGGCCAGGGAGCAGCCCTTGCCGCAGCTGCGGTCCAGCTCCTCGGCGCTGCGGCAGAGCCTGCGGCGCGGGCCGCCCCGCCCCGAGGCTCGCGGCCGCCGCCGCCGCGGCTCGCCGCAGGGCGGCTCTGCGGCGCCCGCGCGGCTGGGGCGCGGGCTGCACCCGCCGACGTGGCGCGACGACGACGACGACGACGACCACCATCACCACCACGACCATCACCACCACGACCACGACGACCACGACCACGACGACGACGGCAACCACGCTTCCCGCCCTCCCCCCAACAAGAAGCCTGCGTGAACAGACGGTCGGGAACTGTTGATGAGCGTGTCGCCGGCCCCGGCGACGCGCCGTACCCTATGAGCGGATAGCGTGCCGCTCCGTTCCGCGGGGCGGGAGGCCGGGACAGGCTCGGGCCGTGGACGCTGGGGCACCAGCAAGTGGACTGCGAGTCGCCTCGGAGCGTGGCGGGCCGAAACTGGCGGAGCGACACGCTGTCCAACAGCTCCCGACCGTAGGCTTTCGGAGGTCCGCGCGGATGTCCAGGATCGGCGCCGGACCCCCCCTGGTGGCGTATCAAGCGCCGCCAATATCGCGCCCCGCGCGGCAGAGAGGGCGGTCCAGCGCCGATCCCGGAGTTCCGTGCGGACCTCCAACAAATTATGTGAATGCCGAGGTTGCTTCTGTCAGGGCTGCCATGTCCTGCCATGCCAACCACGGGCGAGCAACTAACGGAAATCCACAACTGTCAGCCACATACGCGCAACGACGTGTGATGTCGATGCTCGCATCGACGTGTGACTTCTGACCGCAACCGAGCATGCCCATGGAATCGTAGCCATTAGCACCACTACCAACACAGCGACGATGGGGACATTTACTACGACAGCGACTTTGGAGCGTGGAGGAAAATGATGGGGATGTCAAGAAGAATGATGGGGCGGCTGTCTGTTCGCCGTGCCGTACACGTAAGATGGAACGAATATGTAATACACATTTAAAGCGAGCCCCAGTGTACTCCTAAACAGCTGATGCGAGGGGTCAACGTGCATTTGATCCTTATCCTCTTCCTCCTACACCACCTCGTTTGAGCCTCCTCCTCCTCCTGCTCCTTCGCCTTCTTGATCGTCTCCTCCCAGCCAAACGTCGCACTGCTTCCCCGCACCTCAACCTGCGCCCCCTCACCACCACCATCGACGTCGTCATCATCATTCGTCACTCTCATTCTCGCTCGTCCGTCTCCGCGCTCGCCGCCCACGCGTGCTTGCGGCGACTCCTGCAGGCCAGCAGCAGCAGCAGCAGCAGCAGCCCAAGCCGCCACGGCACCGTCCACAGCAGCGGCACCGCCTGCCTGCACGGGGTGCGCGCTGCTGCCCCGCCCGGGCGCTGCCGCCTGCCACCGGGCGCGCCCTGTGCGCGGAGAGCCCCGAGGGCTGCTGCACGGGCGCTGCCGTCTGCACGGGGCGCCGCTGCTCCGCGGCGCCCCTGCCTGCGCCGTCGGGGCCTCCCCGGCGACGCGCACGATCGGGGGTGGCGAGACGAGGGGGGCGGCCTTCCCGAGAAGGCGGGGGCTTCGTGGAAGGCCAAGGCCTTCCGAGAAGGGCCCCCGGGGGCTTCTGAGGGGGCTTCGTGGACGGCGTGCTTCTCGCCATCGCTCGGACGTCCATTCCCTGTTTTGTTTTCCGGTTTCGTGCGTGGTTTTTTCGCCAAATGATCAAGGATGCTCCTCGATGGCCCTCGCCGAAGGAAAACGTAAAATGCACACGTCCGAGCGATGCCAAGGCTTAGGAGCTCCCCCGCCCTCTCGGAAGGCTGCCCGCCCCCCTCGCGCCAGCCCCGCGTGCGCGCCGACGCCCCCGAGCCCTGCTGCTGCCTGCCTGGGCGCGCTCTGCGCGCGGGAGCCTGAAGCCGTAGTTCCGGCACGTCTGGACGGCCTCGCTGTACGTCTTGAGGAACCCGCCCCCCTGGGAGGTTTGCGGCTCGCTGGGGTGAAGAGCGGGGCGCGCGCCCCCCGAGGAGGAGGAGGAGGAGGTGGAGGAGGAGGAGGAGGAGGAGGAGCACAGACGGCGGAGGAGGAGCACAGACTGTGGAGCAGGGCATGGGGCAGAAAAGTTAGAGGACGCAACGGCATGGAACAGGCGTTTTGCGGTGGAGGCTGTGAGCCGAGAGAACACGGAGAGGTGCTGGGAGGGCACAGCCAGAGATCACAGCGATCTGACAAGACCCCGTCGGCCAGGCCTCCCTGAACGTCACGCGTCTCCAGACCGTAGCGTTTGAACTGGAGGCTGAAAGCCTAACTCCTCCTCATGCTATTGGTCCTCTTTCTCCCTTCCCTCTCCCGCTACTCCTGCACCCCTTCTGCCAATTATCCTCTCCTCTTCTGCTCCTACCATTCCTTCTCCTCCTCCTCCTCCTCCTCCTTCCACCATGTTTTCACCTCCTCATCCTCCCACTCCTCCTCTCAGTCTCCTTCCCATCCTTCCCCCCCTACTTCCTGTTATTCGTGCGCACGTTCAACCAAGCCCTTTGCGTCGGACACTTCAAATATCCGCAATGCAACGTGCGCGCTGACAGAAACGTGCAAGGACACAATGGAAATGAGCTGTGAGCCAAGTGGAGGGGTACATAGCCAGCTGAAGCTCGCAGAAAAAACGTCACCCTCCTCCCCCCCTCACTAGAAGAACTCCGACTATGCACCTGCACTGATACTGAGGTGGTCTACCCTGGGTCCGGAGTCGATGGATACGCCCCCCCCTGGCTTGGCCAGGACGGCGCAAACACCGACCCTGGATCCAGGACCAGCCTGACCTGGCCAAGACAGACGTAGGTGGATAGCTTGCGTCCCAAGCGGCCCCCCCCTCCTCCACCTCCCTCTCCTCCCTCATCATACGTCCGCGAAGCTCGTCCCCCTCCCACCCCCCTCGCACCCACCTGACGGCCCCCCCTTAACGCCTGCCGAAAGAATCATCGTCTCACAAATCATACCAGACCGCATCACACTTCTATCCCCTCTCCCGGCGCTCTTCCTCCTCCTGCTGCCCCTCCTCCCAGAGGTCTGCAGAGGCCTCCGGCTGCAGAGCTCACCAAAGGCCTCATGAGGCCCACACACGGAACTCTTGATCTGGAGGCACGGAAATCTTGACCCTCCCCCTCCTCCTACTCCACCCTCTCTCTCCCTCCCCCTTCCGCTTCTCATCCATCTCCTTCTACTCCTCCTGGACCCCTTGAAGCAGCGGGCACTCGGCAAACTTCACTCCTCCTCGTGCTCTTCCTTCTCCTGCTCCACGTCATCATCATCATCATCATCATCATCATCATCATCATCATCATCATCATCATCATCATCATCATCATCATCAGCATCATCATCATCATCATCATCATCACCATCACCATCATCATCATCATCATCATCATCATCATCACCATCATCATCATCATCATCCTCATCATCACCATCATCAGCATCATCATCATCGTCGTCGTCATCATCATCACCATCACCATCACCATGAACCATCACCATTGTCACCATCATCACCACTACCGTCAACATCGTCACCATCATCATCACCATCACCATCATCACCATCATCACCACTATTATGATCATCCTTGTCATCAACATCATCATCGTCATTAACATCATCAACATTATCATCCACACCCTCATCCCCATGATAATCATCACCCCCAGCATCACACTCATCACCAACATCATCATCCTCCTCGTCATCATAAGTACAGCACCATCACCATCATCATCACAATCATGAGCATCATCTTCAGCATCATCATCGTCATCATCCTCATCAGCATTACCACCGTCATCATCACCATCAGCATCAGCATCGTCACCATCATCATCAACAGCAGCATCATCAACATCATCATCAGCATCGTCGTCATAAGAATCATCATCATCAGCAGCAGCACCACTACCACCGCCACAATCATCATCACCATCATTGCGACCATCATCCTGATCATCATCATCGTCATCATCGTCATCATCATCATCGTCATCATCATCATCGTCGTCCACATCTTCATCGCCGTCGTCAGCCAAGACAAGGCTGAAAACCTCAGGACCAATCTCCCTCAAGATCCGTTCCTGGACATCTGGCGTCTCGATTGGTTCAAGACACGGGCCCCCGATCTCCCGACCACTTCCCTGGGGCCAATCTTTCATCTCGAGTCGTTTTTTGATGGTCCCGGCCCCGAGAAACTTGGAAAGATGGAAAAGCCTCCGTCTCGATGTGGTTGAAACGCCCGATGTCTGGCATTCCTTCCTGGCGAGCAGGGGCTCCGCCTCCGAGATGCACTTCCCCTCGACGCTGCGGATGCTCGTGCCGTTCGCCGAGCAGCACACGACCTGCGCAGGGGCCCCAAAGGCATCCAGTGCTTCACAGCTCTGGATGCCTCGAGCGGCCGCTGCAGGGCGAGCTCCAGAGGCGCCGAGAGCAAAGCCCACGCCGGCAAAGAGATTGCTGCTTCACCACCGCCGATCGCGTGCTTCAACAAATCATGCTGCCAGAGAGATCTGGGCCAGTTCCCGCAGGTTCCTGCAAACAAGTCTGGGCCACAATCTACTGTAAACGCTGGAGGGCGAACGTGCTCACGAAACTGTGCCAGCCTTCCGGCAAGCTGGTCAAGAAACGTTTACCCAGCTTTTCGGGAGCCCAGATCCCCGACGTCATGATTTGTTCATGACGTCGACAACCAGGAAGGTTTCGACCTGCTCCCTGGGATCAGTTTTTCATCCTGAGTCGTTTTTTGACGGTCCCGAGGCCCTAGAAGGGCCCCTGGATGCCGAAAATATAGAAAAACCTCCCGTCATGATTTCTTCCTTCATCGATGGGGTCAGAGAGGAAGACTCTTGATCGTATGCTCGACCGTGCTTCCGGAAACGGTCATCACCCGGGAGGCGCTGGGGTTGGGCCCTGGATATAAAGGTAGCGCGTGGGGGGGGGGGGCGGACACGTCGGCGCCGGGGGTGCGCTGCGATCGCCAAGGTGCGCGTGCGGGGGGCACTATGGGACGCACAAAGACATACTAATACTATATGGCCTCCTTGGAGACGCGCGTCCGACCCGAACATATAGTATACCCATCTTGTAGTAGATCGTTTCCCGAGCGGTGTGGCCAGAAAGCGCCCGCCACGACGTATATCTGAGTGAGGGGGCCGAACGGTCATTCACTGTCCCTGGGTGCGTGGCTGAAGTGGGGATCCACGGGGAAAATTCTGCTTGTTTTGTTGCGTCGTCCCCTCCGCGACCGACCCGCGACCCACCACGCGACCCGCTCGCGACCCACCCGCGACCCACCCGCAACCCACCCGCGACCCACCCGCGACCCACCCGCGACCCGGCCCGCGACCCCCCCGCGACCCACCGTGGATCCACGCGCGACCCAACCCGCGACCCACCCACATTGTTTGAACAAAAAAATCGGCGCCTGCGGCGGGCTTGTTGTATAGCTTGAAAAATAATGCGCCTACGGCGGGCTTCTTCAGTGCCTCGCAGACTGTGCCGACGTCCCCGCTGCCCTCTGACTCTTATCTGCAACTACGGGGTGCTACGTACCATAAGATTTCTCTGTGCGCGCGTCGCCGCTGGGGGGGCGACGCACACGTAGTATTAGTATGCTGGGGTGGCGCCGACACTAGCATGTAGAGGTGGCGCGGATCAAGGCCACCCCCAAACGCGTAAGATCGCTAGCCAGACCCCCGACGCCACGATTTTTTAATGGCGTCGACCCCCAAAGGTTTCGATCTATTCCCCGGGACCGGTTCATCCTCCCGAGTCGTTTGTGGACGGTCCCGAGGCCCGGTAAGGGCCCCCACCAGAACTCGAAAATGGCGAAACATCTCCCGTCGTGATTCTTGTCATTGCTCGAGGGGGTCTGGGTACCGTTACCCGGGGAGGAGGGGGTGGATCGCCCCCCTCGAGGGGTCTGGCCCGGATCACGGCCGTGACGCGCCCGATAGGGTCACAAACATTGTGGATGCCACGACAGTGGACAACCTAACAGTCCTATCATTGAATTTCAAGATGTGTTAAGATGCCGGAGACATGTTCTATACATGTTCTAACCATGCTTTTAAAAGCATGCTTAACACATGTTTAGACATCTGGCAACTATTTGGCAACATGCTTCCTCTCCACTGGTCGTCCTCCACAACCCAAACGCCATCTCGAGGCCTGGGCACCGCACGGGCGGATGCCCCCCGCCCCGCGAGGAGCGCGAGCGGCCGCAGCCGAGCGGCGCGCACGGCCTGCGAGAGGAGGGCAGCCCCTCAAGCCTCAGGCTGGGCATGTCCTCCTGCAGGCAGGTTCTTGAAGAAAAATCAAAACATAGTCGAGCAACAACTTTCGAACCATCAGAATTGCAGGAACATCGTCCCCATATTATCTTTTCGTTACCCATGTCTGGATGTTCCTCCTGACCTGTCTTTGGAAGGAAGAGCCCTGGGCAGAACATTTCCAAAAAACAGGGTATCAAAACATCGTCCCCAGACTGCTTTTGGGAAACACTGCGTTTGAACGTCCCTCCTGTTGGGGGGGGGGGGCATGTCCGACCGACCTCGAGCCCCTCCCCCGCCCTCGGCGGCGGGCGAGACCGACGCGGCCGAGCATCTCTCGGGGCGCGGGGGGCTGCTCCGCCGCGCGGGCGCCAAGATTCTCCGAGGAGCGGCGGGGAGGGCGCTCTGAGGCTCCCCGCGGCGGGGCTCCGCGTGCGGCGCGGGGCCCCAGGCTGTCTTCGTGGATGCCATGACAATGGACACTCTAACAATCCTATCGTTGAGTTAAAGCTGTGCTTAACATGTGTAAAGCATGTTCTAAACAAGTTTCCAGCATGATTTTAACATGTTTAACACATGTTTAACACATGCTTGAAACATCTTTTGAACATCTGGAAATTGTTTGGCAGCACGCTTCTTCTCCATTCATCGACTTCCACAAGGCTATCTGCTGCTCGGGCCGAGGACGAAAAAGAGGATCACGACCCAGGCCCCCCTCGAGCAACGGCAGAAATCACGACGGGAGGTTGCTCGCCCCGCGCGGCCTCCGGGGGCCCTTCCTGGGCCTCGGGGCCGTCAACAAAACGGCTCGGGACGAAAGACTGGTCCGGCGGGAGTAAGTCGAAACCTCTGGGGGTCGACGTCATGAAAGAATCATGACGTCGGGGCGATGGGGAAAAAGGATCACGAAGGAGGCTTTTCGCCGTCGTCGGCCCCTGGGGGCCCGCAACAAACGATTTGGCCCAGGTCAGTCCAGACCCGGGAGCGATCCGGTAGGTGGCGACATCCGAACCCTAGACCCCCGCCGACCATCGAGCCTCCTGAGTCAATGGGGGGGATAGGGCTCGGACTTCGCCACGTGTTCGACGAGTTCCGAACCCTACCCCCGCCGCCCACCGAGTTGCCTGAGTCGTTGTTCGGCGAGGGTAAGGTTCGGATATCGCCGCCGTACCGTAGGGGGGCGGGCCCGCGGCCCTCAGGCGCCCTCTCCCTCGCGGCGGGCGTGTACCACTCGTGGGCGTGCAGCACACGGACCGCCACGCGTCGCGGAGCAGAGGGCTCCTTCGATAACTGGCGTCTGCCTCCTCCTCCTCCTCCTCCTCCTCCTCCTCCTCCTCCTCCTCCTCCTCTTCCTTCTTCTCCTCCTCCTCCTCCTCCTCCTCCTCCTCCTCCTCCTCCTTCTCACGCTGGCTGATGAAGGCGTGCACGGACCGCCAGCACCTGAGACAACCACCAGCTCGAAGCACGAGCGAGGCCGGGAAGACCCGATATCTACCCCCGCGGCCGGCCCAGAGAGGCCGCTGCCACAGACCACGGCGGTGCCGATCGCTCCCGAGCAGCGCCCTCGGGACACCTCCGCGGGACCGCGCCTCAGAAGGACCGCGCCTCGGCATTCGACTCCAGAAGCCCCAGACTCCCGCCGCCACGATTGGTTCGTGACGCGGGCCCCCCAGAGATCTCGACCCTCAGAAATCTCGGCCCGCGTCCTCCTCCTCAACCGTTTTTGTTCAACACATGTTCCGTGGGATTTTGGTTTTCTTCCCACCCATGTCGCACCCGCGTCTTCCTCACACCTCCCTCCTTCCTCCTCCCTCTCCTCCTCTTCCGTTCTCCCCCCACCCACGCGCAACGCATGCACGGCACGTACATTAGGCACGCATCTACATGCCGCCGCACGCATGCACACACCCGCAGTCACACACACACACAAACACACACACACACACACACACACACACACACACACACACACACACACACACACACACACACACACACACACACACACACACTGTCACACACACAAACAACGCTAGTGCACGCCTAGCGTGTTCACTGCATCACACACCCACGGCGTGTGCGCCACATGGTGAGCACCCACATGAGACACACGTCCAGATACAGCCGCACACGCATCATACACTTCCTCCCTCGACACCACAAGGGGCGCGCTGGGTGTGGGACGCTACCCGTTTCGTGCTCGCAAAGCGTGGCAGGCGTGGCACTTCCACGACACAACAGGGGGCGCGCTGGGAGGTGAAGCGCTATCCGTTTCGGGCTCGCACAACGTGGCAGGCGTGGCAATTCGTCGACACCACACGGGATGCGCTGGGGGGTGAACCGCTATCCGCTTCGGGCTCGCAAAAAAAAGTGGCAAGCGTGGCAATTCCTCGACACCGTTGGGGGTGCGCTGGGGGTGGGAGCGCTATCCGTTTCGGGCTCGCAAAGCGTGGAAGGCGTGGCAATTCCTCGCCACCACAGGGGGTGCGCTGGGGGTGGGAGCGAATATCCGCTTCGGGCTCGCACAGCGTGGCAGGCGTGGCAATTCCTCGACACCACAAGGGGTGCGCTGGGGGTGGGAGCGCTATCCGTTTCGGGCTCGCAGAGCGTGGCAGGCGAGGCATTTCCTCGAGACCACAGGGGTGGTCTCTGAGCGCGGCATCGACTCTTTGCGCGACGTGGAAGGCCCAGCCAGCTAGTGGGGTCAAATTGGCAGTTAGCCAATCACGCCCACGCTTTTGCCCTTCATGGACACCGTCAGGGTGCTCAGGCTCCCAAGGCTTGACAAGCGCCACCAACGGTATTGGCGAAGCAACGGCCACCTGCATCATTCTCGCAAGTTTCACGTCAGCTATCATCACGCCAGACAAACAAAAGTATGCGGGTTTCCTCGGTAGCGTAATTTTCACGGCCCCGAACCTTTTTTTCACGGCCCCAAGACCCGGCAAGGACCTCCAGATTGATTCGTCGGATTCTTTCAAGACTCGAGATCTTGGAGCCTGGCTCGCCGAAGGATGGCGCCTCACTGCTGTTCACGCCTCCTCCCGCTCGCGGGCTCGCCTAAGGGCCGCGAATTCATGGGGGGGCGATAGATGGGGGGGAGAGAGAAAGGTGCCCGTTTCGGGTTCTAAAGGCCTCCATCTGTCGTGGGGTGCTAACTCCCTGGCCCAAGGTTCCCCGAGCTTTTCGCGCAATTTTGGAGCTCCTGAGGCCCTCCGGGCCTCGAGAAGGGTGCTCCGGAGGCCGTGGGGGCCTCCGCAGAAATCCTGGGGGCACCTTGGCCCAGGGACACTTCCAGCAACACCCGACTGTGGGCCCCCCAAAAAGGGCGCCCCCTATGGGGCCCCATAGAGGAACCCTCTTGTGCAGCCCTCGCTGCCCCCCCCCCACTCAGCGCCCCCCACCCCACTTGTCGCGGCCCCAGGTTGTTCCCGCGCGGGCTCCCGCTGGCGACAGTGTGCCTCCGCCGGCCCGCGCCCGGCGCATGGCGCCGATCGGGCAAGGTGCGCCGATCGGGCGAGGTGCGCCCCTCTGGAGCGCTTCGCATCGGATCATTTAATTATCCATACCGACGTTTGCGCGAAATCAACACCCATCTCAGGCATCGGTGACAAGACGACAAAGCTCGCCCCCCTTCCCCCCGTATTGTAAGATTGGCGCGGACGCCGTGCCCCAAAGCAGAAATGGGCGTTTCTTTCGCAACACGTCGGGCTCCCTTTTGGCGCATTCGTTGGCCAACATTTAGATACGGGGCGCGGGGACGGGGCGCTCTGGTCTTCTACATGTGGGCAATTATCTCGCAAACGGAGGTGGCAGGGAGCAAAACATACCCCTCAGAATACGCACCCCGACAGGCGAAGCCAGTTATAGTTAACGCACCCAAGGACGGAATCGAACAGAGCAGGGCTGCTTCGTAAGCGCCCGGGGCCGTTCGGTAAACGCCAGTTATCAGGGTGGCTTTTCCTCCCTTGACATAGAGGCCTCCCGGGTGGGGTCCGAGTACAGCGGGACCTAGGACAGAAGAGCATCCATCAAAAGCATGCTACCCTCCATCTCGCCATCGCTCGGACGTCCCTTCCCGGTGCATCGTTTGATGTCGTGCGCTTTTTTCCCCGTAAGATGGGCTAAACTGCTCCCCGGTGATCCTCGCCGAGGAAAAATGCAGACGTCCGAGCGATGCCAAGCCATTGGCCAAACTGAAGAACGTTCGAGAATATCCCCTTTCCCAGGGTGCACGGGGACACCCAACCAACACGAACAACAGCAGGGCACCCGCCCCGAACCGACCTCGAACTTACACCTCGGTGCGACCGTAGACTTGAGCAGAGGCCGTCCGTCCCAGCACTCCTAGGTGGGCATGCCAGGACATTCTTGTAGAACAAGGGAATATTCGAAAACCGAAGCAGCGTCTTCAGAGCATAAAGCTGATGCATCGGAACAGGAGCCTCAGCCAGACACCTTCTAGAACATGCAATCACAAGAGGTTCTTAGAATACTTGGGTGGGCCTATGGACAGACAAGGAAGCTTCGCCACTGCTTGATAGATGGAGTCGGGGGATCGCGCCACATCGGCGACGCCGGCGACAAATCGGCGACGCCGGTGTGGAGGAAGTCGGGCTCCTCATCGAGTTGCCTCCGCGATACATTGGCGATGCGGCGCGATCCTCCGACACCATCTACAGTAGGGACCCGAAGAAGCCTTCCACAAGAAACCCAACCTTGAGACCCCAGGACGCCCATTGATTTTTGGTGTAGGAACGTCACGCTGTCCAGGGCACCCTGGAGGCAAGCAGGGTGTTTCTTGGCATGAGTCTCCGCTCTACTCTGACACCACCCGGTAGGCCTAGAATCCACCTTGTCGCGCCCTGTCGGCCAGACCGCGGGGCTGGGGCTGGTTCGTGTCGTGCCGACTTCGGCGTTGGCTTTTCTGGCACAATGGGGGTCGTTCAGCCTTGAGCGATCGGCTGTTTCCGAGACGTCAGATCGTTCAACATCGACCGATTATTCTGGGTCGCCAATCAGAAAAGGAAAAGGTACCGCCCTTCGCCCGTCTTCCCCCTCTTCGGCCTCCTCGGAGCCTCTCGTTGCCACCGCTGGATTCGCCTCGAAATCCTGGTCAGAACGCACTCCGGGAGAGGTCCCGGGAGTAGCGGTATCCGTACCTTCTGGTCTCCCCAGCCATCGGCGTTCAACGTTGAACGCCCCCATGGGGCCGCCGCCTGTCGACACGACGCGAACCAGCCGTACCTTCAGGGTCGCGCCGTTGTTAGCCAGAGCGCGGAGATGTGGACATGGACACGTTCGGCGCTGATGGGCTCTCCGAGGCCCAGCGCCACCCCGGTGGATACTCCGTGTACGGGGACTTCGATGGATGGAAGAAGTCTCCGTCTGCCTGCCGCGTTCCTCCTGATTGCCTCCTCGCGCGCTGCCGAAGAAGCTCCTACAGGGAGCGGCATTTCGTGTCGTCGCGATTTGAGCGTTGGATTCCGACACCGCGTGGCTCGTTGAACAGTTGATGCTCGCGGCTTCCCGACAGCGCAATGCACTCGGGGTCGGCCGATTCTGGGCCACCGGCGGCGTTCAACCTGGAACACCGGCGCTGGGGTCGCCGCCGCGTGCCCTGGCTCTTGCACCAGGCATCGGCGAGAGGCGCGACTGGCAGGGTGAGGACGGGAGCCTTCACCGGGTGGAGGACCCCGGGGGGAAGACGACCACAGTCGAACATGTGGGGGCTCTGCGGCCCCCCAGGGGGAGGGGGAGGGGGCGCAGAGAGGCCGAGGGCCCGGGGGGAGAGCCACCAGGCCGGGGAGGCCAGAGGGGAAGGGCGGGCGAGCCGCGACCACGACGGAAAGCACGGGCTGCGCGGCCCAGGTGCGGGGAGGCCGGGGGGGCAGGCTCCGGGGCCCCGAAGAAGAGGAGCCCCGGGGGGGGAAGGGGGGCCAGGAGGGAGGGCGAACCACGACCACGAACGGAAAGGAAGGGCTCCGCGGCCCCGGGGGCGGGGGGGCCGCCCGGCAGGGGTCGAGCGCTCCCAGGTGCTCCCAAGCGCTCCCAGGCGCCCCCAGGCGCTCCCAGGCGCTCCCAGGCGCTCCCAGGCGCTCCCCTCCCAGGGGTGGGGGGGTCGGGTCGGGTCGGGGAGGGGGGGGAGGGGAAGGGAGGGGGAGGCTCCGCGGCCCAGAAGGGAGGGGGCCGGCGAACTGCGGCCACGCCAAGAGCAAAGAGGTCCGAGGCTGTCCTCGATAATGAACCCCTCCCCTGGTGCGGCGCCGCAGGCCGCCAGGGGCTGCAGCGACGACCCAAGAGATCATCGCAGGCATCCCGCCACCATTGCGCCGTGCATCCGGAAGGGCGCGGCGGCGGGAGAGCGCGCGATTGGCAACTCCCTGGGGAAGTCACAACAGAGAATGATGTCGCGGAACGCCCCAGGACTGGTTGTGCAGTGTGTTTTGATCTTGGACGGCTCCGAGAAAAGCTTCCAAGGTGGGATACGGCCAACTCCGCTCAAAGTCGGCCCTCAGCCCCCCTCTGGGGGCCCGCCTGGAGCCGTCTTCCACCCCGGATCCATTCTTGAGGGCCCCGGGGCTCCAGGAGCGGCCCCCAGAGACCCGGAGGGGCAACACGAGACTCCCCTCGGAAGCCCAGCGCCTCGAGCCCGCCCGCCCTCCTGCTCGCCAGAACCCGCGCTGGGTGCCCCCTGTGGTGGCGTTGCGGGGGGCCCCTTCGAGGGCACCCCGCCCAAAGCCGCCACCGAGCCGCCGCCGGAGGCCCCCCCCGCGCGGCCGCCGCCGGAGGCCCCGCAGCCCCGGGGGGGCGAGGCGGAGCGGGGCGGGCGCGGGCGGCCTGGCCCGCGGCCTCGCCCTCGGGCGCGTAGCGGGGCGACCCGTACCTGGGCGGCCCGCCGCCGCCGCCGGGCGCCGTCGGGCCCCCGCCTCCCGGCGCGGCGCGAGCGCTCGGCTGGGGCCCACAGCGCTGGAGAGCACCTCCTCGCAAGAATACACCCTGCGAAATGCTTAAGAAATCATGGGTTAAGAAATTCATAGTCTCAGAACTTGAGTAGAAGCCCAGAATTTCAATAGAAATCTTAGGATGTACTTGGAAACATTAAGAATAATCGAGACTCTGGCCGAAAACTTGGGTTTTCTTAACCATCGCCTAAGGTGTATGGAGGATGACGATTCATAAATGGCAGGGGGTCGTGTTCACGCGGCGGCGCCCGGGATGACGGTTCGAAAAGACCGGCCGCGGGCTGGAACACTATATTGTTTTATCGTTCTCCTCCATGAGTCAGAAAAGGATGCAGACATGATAGAAAACTATTTCTTCGAATCGTTCTCTCCCATTTTTTATTAATCGTCATCCCGCATTATGCTCGCGATAGCGCCCGTGGCCGACCCCGTCTCCCCGCCCCCCCTGCTGGTCACGTCACGATTGGCGCCAGCGCCGTATGGCAGTGTGCTATGCGTGACGTGAACGGACCCCTCCTCACCCCCGTCGATGGCAACTCATGGGAGCCTCCCATACCATCTCGTCGGCGCTTGCGAACCGACGCCAGTCGACGCTAAATCGACGCTAATCGACGCTGAATCGACGCTAATCGAGGCTAATCGACGCTAGATCGGCGCTATCTCATCGACTCCCAACGCTTTTCGACGCTCATTGACGCTGAAGACGGACTTCAGAGGGCACACCGGGCTCCCATGATTTGCCACCGAACCCACCCTGTCACCCCAGACCCCCGACGTCATGCTTTTTTCAATGACGTCGACCCCCAGAGAGGTTTCGACCCATTCCCCGGGACCGGTTTTTCATCCTGAATCATTTTTTGACGGTCCCGAGGCCCGGGAAGGGCCCCTGGAGGCCGAAAACTGAAAAAACCTCCCGTCGCGATCTGTCCACTGACTCGAGGGGGTATGGGCACCAAGCTCCCATGAACTGCCACCGAGCGCCCCCCCCCCCCCTTGCCACGCACGTGAACGCCAGGGGGATCTGACAACGGTCTCTCCCTGTAGGCGGCTGCGAGCGCGCTCAGAAGAGCTGGCGGGCCGAGCCGAGCTGATGGCACACTGCGATACCTACTAATGGAAGAGGGTTGTGGATGTCATGGCAACGGACACCCTGACCGTTCTAGCATTGGATTATCCCAGACCCCCTCGAATAATGAAAAAACATGACGGGGCATTTTCCACACCTTTCGGCATCTGGGGGCCCTTACCAGGCCACGGGACCGTCAAGAAACGACTGAGAATGAAACTCTGGTCCCGGGGAATAGCTCGAGGCCTCGAAAGTCGACGTCACGGAAATAATGACGTCGGGGGTCTGGGAACAATGTCTTGCACATGCTTTCTACATGCCTTGAACATGTCCGAGACACGTTCAGAACATGTTTTCTAGCACTTTGGGAGCCTATTTCTAATATGTGTTAGACATCTGGAACCTGCTTGGCAACATACCTCCTCTCCATTGACCGTCTCCCACAAGAAGGGAGACGAGGGCGGCCGCAGAAGAGGATCAGCAGGGCGGAGGCCTCGGACGCGGAGAGCCCGCGCCCCGAAGAGCGCACTTGCGGCCTCTCGGGCACCAGAGGCCGGCGCACTCACAGGCAAGGGGCCTTCAGTTTGTTCTAGACTCTGGCGATTTTCTTGACACACGTATTGTCAAAAACACAAGTGTTGTTTAGACATGTGTTGTCTAACACATGTCTAAACATTATGTTTCCAACGTGCTCAAAGCATGTGTTAAACATGTTCCGGACATGCTTCAAACAGGAACAAATCATGCACAAGACATTGTTAATTCAATGCTAGAACGGTTTGAGTGTCCAGTGTCACGGCATCCACACGAGCCTGATGTGTTCTTTAAGGCAAGTTTACTTGCATGGACGATGGGGGGTGGGCTGAAGATGAAACAGGCCCCAAACGACTTGACGTGCGAAAGTCACGCAAGTCGAAAGGCACTTGCACGCTTTTGTTCGATTGAAGAGGGGCGAGGGGGCGAGGGGAGGGGGGGCGAACGCCACGCAAGTAAACTTGCCTGAGTCTTAAGAAACACAGGCTCCACGCGAACAAAAATAACAGGACGGACATTTTTCCCAGACCCCGTCGAGTCATGAACAGATCGCGACGGAAGATTTTTCGCTGTTCTCGGCCTCTTGGGGCCCTTCCCAGGCCTCGGGACCGTCAACAAAACGACTCAGGATGAAAAACCTGGTCCCGGGGAAGGGGTCCAGACCTCTGGGATCGACGTTGTTCAAAAGTCAGAGAGAGCGTGATCCACCGCCGCTTTACTGTGGAAAATTCCCCCCCTCTTCCTCCGGAACCCGGGGGTCCCCCCCCCCCCCTCCCAAAATTCCCCCCCCCCTGCTGGAGCCCCCCCCTCCCCTCCCCCGGCAAAACCCCCCCCCCTCCCCCCCTCCCCTCCCCTCGAAAACCGGGGGGGTCACTACCGGTTCGACCCCCCCCCCCGAAAACCGGAGGGGGGTCACTACCGGTTCGAACCCCTCCCCCCCCCCCCCCCCTCACCGCCAGCAAACGACTCCCGGTCCCTACCACCGTCCGCACCACATCACACACTGTTGTTCCCAGTACCACTGTCCACTGTCCCCACTGGTTCCACCACCGTCCCTACTGGCACCACCAATGCCCCCACTACTGTCGCACCGTCCCCACTGTCCCCACCACTGTTCCCACCACGGTTCCACTCTCCCCACTTTCTCCACGGCCCCAACCACTGCCTGACTATCCCCACTGTCCCCACTGTCCCACTGACTCCTCCGCTGTCCCACCGAGCTGTCCCACTGTTCCCACCACTGTCCCCACTGTCCCCACCACTGTCCCCACTGTACCTCTGTCCCATTGTCCCACCGCCGTCCTCGCCACCGCCTTCACCACTGTCCCCACCACCACTGTACCCTCCACTGTCCCACTGTTTCCACCACATTCCCACTGTCCCCACACCACTGTCCCCACCACCACCGTCCCCACCACTGTCCCACTGTCCCCACTGTTCCCACCATTGTCCTCACCACTGTCCCCACCACTACCGTCCCCACCACTGTCCCACTGTCCCCACCACTGTCCCGCTGTCCCCTCACCACTGTCCCCACCACCACCGTTCCCACCACTGTCCGCACCCCCCCTGGTTTTCGAGGGGGGGGGAGGGTTCGAACCGGTAGTGACCCCCCTCGGTTTTCGAGGGGGGGCGGGTTCGAACCCGTAAAGACCCCCCCCTTTTCATGATGGACTTCGGGGGGGGGGGGGAGGGGTTCGAACCGGTAGTGACCCCCCCCGGTTTTCCGGAGGGGGGGGGGGAGGGGTTCGAACCGGCAGTGACCCCCCCCCCGGTTTTCCGCCCGCAGCGCTATAGAAAACGCTCTTTCTACGAAGCCGGGGGTCTGAGCAACAGGACGGCCTGCTTCGCCGTCTTCGGCACCCGGGGGGCCGCTCCTGGGCCCTGGGGCTGGCAGAGAACGGCTCGGGACGAGGAGCTAGCCCTGCGGGAGGGCTCGGGTCTTCCAGGGACCCCGCGCCGAGCAAACCAGGACCTCCGACCTCCGGGGCAGGACGTCGCCGTCGTCGGTTGTCTGCCGCTGGGGAACGAGTCTGACGAAGAGGAGGAAAGAATCTGACGACGACGAGGACGACCACCACGAGCTGGGCCAGAACCAAATTTACCAATCATCGCACAGGGGCCTTCGCAAGACGCGCCCTCCTGGGCATGTCTTCGTCCTCCAGCGTCAGCGGGAGCGGTCAGCAGCGGATGCGCACAAATGCCGGGTCGGATCGGACCGCGCATCGAGTCAGACCGCATCGGCGGGGAGCCAGCACCGAAGCGGGCTGGCCGCGCTGGGATGCACAGCAGCGCCGCGGCGAGCATCAGGCCGCATCGGATCGCCGGAGCCTCGGAGCCTCGGACTCGGGCCAGAATTGATACATTCAGCGCCCCTCAAACGGGGACTCCACTAACGGGTACTTTGGCCAGTGACCCAGCGAACCCAGCCCTTCCCGATGTGGGCAAAGCTGCAATGCAAGAAAAAGGCCCTAAAGTGGCAACTTTCGGCAAGAATTCAAAGTACCCGTTAGGAAGTACCCGTTACGGTGCCGTTGATTTACATCGGAACATCGGACCGAGTCGGATCGGTCGGATACAACGCTGGCGCCCGCACGTGCGCAGGCGGCCGCCGGGCTTCGCCGCTGCCCCCCCCCCTGCAGCCCCCCCCCGCGGGCCTCGGGTGGGTGCTGATCTCCGAGCACGCCATCTCCACGCGGCGGAACTGCTCCTCGGGCCAGCCGCAGCCAGGATAATTAGGGGACCCCCTGGGCAAGAGCGACCCGTGGTGCGCAGCTTCCGACGGGCCGCGGGGGGGCCAAGCCCAGGCGAGCAGGCCGGCGCTGTGGGGACCGCTGGGGGCCCCGCACCAAATGGTCACTCGGGCGAAAGGTCACAACCCAGACCCCCATCGAGTCATGACACCAAAAATCACGACAGAAGGTTTTTTTGTCATCATTCTCGGTTTCTGGGGGCCCTTCCCAAGCCTCGGGACCGTCAAAACCGACCCAGGATGAAAAACAGGTCCCGGGGAATAGGTCGAAACCTCCGGGGTCGACGTCATGGAAAAATCATGACGTCGGGGGTCTGGGTACCCTGAGAGGTCCGACGAAGCGGTGCAAGTGCAACATCCTTCGGCCAGAGCCCCGTCGACACCGGCAGTCCGCGGCTCGTCCCGAGCCGGACTGCCGTCTGCGAGGGCCCCGGAGCCCGAAGCTGGCCGGGAGCGCCCGGCGCGAGACCAAAATGGCGACGCCAGGATCCTCGGCGGTGGACAGACCTCCTTTTCGTAAACCTCCCCTTCGTGAAAACGGCCTGGGACCGAAACCGACGGACCTGGACCCGCAGAAATGACGGCCGCGACGCCCTCTCGCGAACCGGAAACGGCCAATTCATCAATCGACGCGTCAGGGTAGGAGGTCTGTCAACCTCCGAGATCCCCAGACATCCCGCGTCTCCAGTTGTCTCGAGGCACGGGCCCGCCCCCGCGACCACTCGACCACGTCTCCGGGCCCGGTGCTTCCTCGCGAGGCGCTCTGTGTGGGCACCCAGAAGGTTTCAGCGGCCAGGGCCCGCCGAGGGGCCGAAGCGATACTGGACAAACCAGCGCCCCGATGTCCTCGAGACACCGGATGTCTGGGAGCCCTGCACCTGTCCCAGATCCCCGGCGTCGTGACTTTTGTTCGCGACGTCGACCCCCAGAGGCCTGGACCCCTACCAGGGAGCCGGTTCTTCATCCGGAGTCGTTTTGTTGACGGCCCCGAGGCCCGGGAAGGGCGCCTCATGAGGCCGAAAACAGCGAACAAAAACCTCCTCTCGCATCTGTTTCGCAACGCGAGGAAGTCTGGGGTGTCCGCCTCCTGACGTTGCCCCTGGAGATAGTTTTTTTTTGGGCATCGGCGATAACCCGGGCTATCCCGGGGGGAGGGGGGAGGAGGGGGCCGGCCGATAACATAACCCTCGCGCCGTGGGCAGCCCTGCATATGCCCGCGCCCCCCCCTCCCGCGGACCTGCACAACCGGCAAGGCTAGGTCATCCTTGGGGGGCGGGGGAAGGGGGCAAGTCCGAGAACCCGGGTTCTCGCCCGACCCTTACAAAAAACAGTCTCCTGAGTGGCGAGCGTGGGGCTGCCAGTTCCGCCGGCGGAGCGCCCTGCGGCTGCCGACGCCGAGGCGCCGTCGGTCGGGAAGCCTCGGCCTGCCTGGCGGTGTCCGGCCCTCGCCGCGGCTGCCCGGCTCGGTCGCAACTGCTGGCCGCCCCGTGGGCGGGGCCGTGGCAGTTTCCTCCTCCTCCTCCTCCTCCTCCTCCTAGCTTCTTCTCCTCCTCCTCCTCCTCCTCCTCCTCCTCCTCCTCCTCCTCCTCCTCCTCCTCCTCTTCTTTATACTCCTCCTCCTCCTCCAATTCCTCCTCTTCCAGCTCCTCCGCCTCCTCCTTCTCCCCCTGCTTCCGGCCTTTCCGCTCTTTGTTTGTCAGCCGTTCTCGCCGCTGGGCTCCCTCCGAATGGTGGAAACATGTACTGCGCCATAACGGCTGACCTCGCGCTGTCGCGCCGCCCCCTGGGAAAAGCAGGGCGCTTCCGCGACCCAGGCCAGAAGCGGCGCTGCGGGCACGTTCGCAGCCGTGGCGACACGGGCCTCCCGGGATGCCCCGAAAAAGCCGCGAAGAGGAGGGAAGGACAGCGTGGTCGGTACCCAGACCCCCGACGTCATGTTTTTGTCATGACGTCGACCCCCAAAAATTTCGACCTATTCCCCGGGACCAGTTTGTCATCCCGAGTCCTTTTTTGACGGTACCGAGGCCCGGTAAGGGCCCCCCGAAGCCGAAAATTATGAACAACCTCCAGTCATGATTCGTTTCATTTCTCGAGGGGGACAACGTGCTCGGTACCTATTCCTCCTCTGCTCCTCCGAATCCTCGCACGCACCCTCCGCTGTGATTGAGAGCCGCTCCCCGGGCCCGCGCCAGTGGGGCCACTTGAATAAGAAGGAGGAACAGGAGACACAGGAGGAACAGGAGGAAGAAGAGGAGGAGAAGGAGGATGAGGTGGAGGAGGGGCGGGAGGAGGAGGAGGAGGAAAAGGAGAAGGATGAGGGGGTATTTGGAGGAGGTGGAGGAGGAGGAGGAGAGAAGGAGCGGGAGGGGGAGGAAGAGAAGGAGAAAGAGAGGATGAAGAAGAGGAGGAGGAGGAGGAGGAGGAGGAGGAGGAGAGTGGAGGTGGAGGTGGGGAGGAGGACGACGAGGAGGAGGAGAAGGAGGAGGAGGCGGAGGGGGAGGGAGGAGGAGGTGGAGGAGGAGGGAGGAGGAGGAGGAGGAGGAGGAGGAGGAGGAGGAGGAGGAGGGGGAGGAGGAGGAGGAGTAGGAGGAGGAGAGGAGGAGGAGGAGGAGGAGGAGGAGGACGAGGAGGAGGAGGAGGAGTGAAAGAGACTGTCTGGCAACGGCGAACCACGGGTCACGAGTAGGCCCCCCCGACCCAGATCTGGAGAGCGAGCGGACCGAAATCTAGAGTCCCTACTGAGCCCAAAGGGGCCCATATTTCGGCGTCTTGACTGTGCTGCATCTCTGACGAAGGGCTACGCGATAATAGCCGAGGCGTTCGCATCGAGCGCCGTCGCTGGCTCCTCACACGTGCGCTGCGTATCATTCGCAAGCACACTTGCGCAGCGCATACACCTCGCAACAACCTCGGGGCCACTGAACTGCAAACGCATATCGACCAAAGGACCAGCCCGACTGCGTCGTGACACTGCGGATGGGTGTGGGCGAGTCGTGGGAGCGACGCCTCGCGCAAGTTGCCACCGTATGAATCAGGCTCGCGGCGTGCGCCTCCAATGTGTCGGAACACCTGGATGCTCCCACTCTCGCTGCTGTGGGTCCGCTTGCCGCTCCTTGCCACAACTTGAGACACGCCCTCCGCGCCTGCAGCCTCTGCCTCGGCCCCTGGGTGCGGCCGCGATGCCGCTCGCCGCGACCACTGCCAGGCCGCTCAGCACGGGCTGGCCGCACCAGCCACTCCTGACGAAGGTCTTCGTGCAGTGAGTGCCCCCTCCCTCTTTCTCCCGGCTCGGGGCGGCCGCGCTCCGCCGCCCTCTCCTCCCATGCAGACGGAGCATTCGTTCGCCCGCTCCCGGCCCACTGGAACGCGCGTGCGGATCGCCTCTGCCGCGCTGCGACGGAGAAGGTGCTCTCAATGTCAGTGGCACTCCAGCTGCCAGTGCACGCCGAGGAAGCGAAGTCCGAGTGGGGAAGAGCACGCTGATCATTGCAGAACGCAGCGGAAGGGGACAACGAGGAGGGCGTGAAGAGAAGACAGGCGCCTCGCCAACGTCATCTGCCTCGTAGACATCATCTTGAACTCCACCTCCCTGTGAAGCAGATGACGCTCTCAGGGAAGTGCCTGCGCCGAGCTGGCCATTTTCTCGAGCGGATCTTGTGCAAGTCGCCATCTTGCTGGCGACAGGGACGCGGCGATGATGCGCAGTCTCATACCGAAAGGCCTCACAGCAAAGGGACGCCCTGTGGAAATACCAGGAAGCTGGAAAGACACGCGTGGCTGGATTCACGCGCGGAACATCCGGAGGCCAGGGGCTGCACACGCGTGCGGAAGGCTGGCGCATCAGGCCAGAGAGGGCCGAGCGCTGGTGAGACACCCAGCCAACTGTGCAGCCAGCTCGTGCCCATGCCGGCCGCGTCAGGGTCATCCAACTTCCTGTCACTGTTCGGGGTGGAGCCCTATGTTGGCCATCCAGCGGCGATCCCCTGGTGCCAGGAGGCCCGTGCCGAAAGGGCGGCGACAACCACCCCCAATGGCCGACCGAACATTCAACTGCCGACACAGCAGGGTCGAGGAAGCTTCTGCCGAGCCGGATGACCAGGGGGCGTAACACACACTGTGGTGGATGGCGGATCAGCTGCAGGAAACTGTTTTTGTCAGCGCCTCCCAGCGCCTGCGGCGTCCACGTACCGTCGGACCTAGCACATAATAACATCCGTCGAGAACATGGGACCCTCCGCCAGCCAAAACACCCCAAACCATAAGATCGCGAGAGGGTGCCCTCCCCCAAGATGCACAAGAACATCCAACAAACACGAAGAACAGTACTAGGGTACCCTCCCCGAACCGACCTCGATCGTGTATCTCGGTCCGATCGTATTGATAAAAGCGCCCGGCGGCGAGGCCGATACCACCTGAATGCAACAGATTTCGTACCCACCCTCTCCCACTTCTCCCCATTCGCCAGACACGCTCCTAAAAAAGGAGCAGGCTCCCTCTGCAAATCGCACCAGCTCTCTTGATAGAGTTGGCTTGGGAACGAGACAAAGCCTTCGAACGCAACACGGCCCACGTATCCCTTCGGGGACGGGCTTAACCCCTCCCCCTACGGTCGGGAACTCTTGCTCAGCGTGTCGCCCCGGCGGCCCCGGCGACACGCTATGCCTTGCGAGTGGACAGCGTGTCGCTCTGCTCTTCGGGGCGGGAGCCTCGGAAGAGCTCGGGACGTTGACGCCGGGAGGCCGGGAGGCTGAGAAGTTGGTAGCGTGTCGCCCCGAAGCGTGTTGGGCCAGAACCGGCGGAACGACACGCTACTTATTCAAAATTGCCTGAAACGTATGCCCTCCCAAGGGGTCTGGACCGAGGGGGGGCGTGGGTCGTCACGAAATCCGTCTTGGGACCTGCTCGCCATTCTGCGCCACCCCGCTGCGCACCACGCGGCACGAGCACGGTGCCGCGGGGTCCGAGGTGATCCAAGGCGGCTCCAGCACGGCCCCAGAGATGTCATGGCGGCCTCCACAGTGGCGCTGGGAGGCCCCTGCTGTCCCAGGATGACCTCCAGCAAGGCCCCGAGAGATCCCCGCGAAGGCCCCAAGATGGTTTCGAGGTGGCCCGCGTTCGGGCAAGAGGAACCAACATCGAATCGCGAACTTGGACCGGATCGGAACGCGCGTCGAATTGGGCTGTATCGGCACTGAGTCGGAACCGAATCGAATCAGTAGAGCCAGAAATGCGCGGCATGCAATGATCGGGACGCGCAGCATCGGACCGAATCGAATCGGATCGATCGGACAGGACAAGTAACCCTGCAAGGGTAGTGCCTGGCTTTCGGCGGTGCCGTATGTTCGGGTCACAGCTCGGGTGTCCGCTGGTCGTTCGGGCCGATTCGGGCACCCCCTGAATGCCCCCGGCGAGGCGCAGCTGCTCGACGGAGCGCATGGCGAGGCTGGGAAACCGCCAGGACCCCACGAGCACGCATGAAATCCTCTGACCTCAAAGCGAGCCTCCCCCGTTCCGATCTGCCCTGTGGCAGCGGCGAGGGGGCTCCTCCTCCCCCTCCTTTTCCTCCTCCTCCTCCTCTTCCTCCTCTCCTCCTCCTCCTCCTCGTCCTCCTCCTCCTCCTCCTCCTCCTCCTCCTCCTCCTCCTCCTCCTCCTCCTCCTCCTCCTCCTCCCCCCTCCCCCCCCTCCTCGTCCTCTTCGTCGTCCTCCTTCTCCTCATCCTCCTCCTCCTTCTCCTGCTCCTCCTCCTCCCGTGGCCCAGCGCAGGCTGCCGCGTCCCGCTGCGGTCACCAGCAGCAGAGCAAAACGACGCCCGCCTTTGCCGCCTCCGCTCACGTTGCGCGACGGCGGGGGCGGCTCGGACGGCATGGCGCCGTCGTTGCAGTTGTCGTCCGAGGGCGACACGGGGAGGAGCGCAATGTCGTTCACTACGATGGGCGGTGGGGGTCGGGGACGATGAGGGAGGTCTGGCCTAAGGGGGGAAAGGGCAATGAAGGAGGGGGGAGGGAGAAGGCGGCGGCGGAGCTCGACGGGCACACGAGTCTCGGGGCGAGAGAGAGGGCGCGGCGGCGGTGGCGGCGGAGCTCGATGAGCACACGAGTCTGACAGACAGGAATCGACACAATTCGAAGCGAGCTCAAGTGTTCAGAGCGCGCTATGTGGAGCGGTGCGTTCGCACTGGGGGGGGCGGGCGGGCGCGCCTGTGCGAACTCGGATCAGAAATATTCCTTGAGGCCAGGACTCGCAGGGACTGATGAGGATACCGACGCACAGCAGCCACTGGAACAACTGAAAATCGTCTTCAGCGATAAAATTGCACAGCGAAGTAACAAACACATCCAAGCTTCCAACAGGACTCGCTGAACAGCTCTGACACTCTGACTCTTTGGCCCACTGGGGCCCCCGCCGCAATGCTTAGATGGCATCACCTTGTGAGAGGGAGTGGGTGAGGCGAGGCCGACGAAACGACATCTCAGACGACGGGGGCGGGGGAGGTCGATGAGGGTGGCAGTCCTGAACCTTGATGGGCAGGGGAAGCTTCGGGAAGCAGGCGGCGCGTGCTCCACGGCGCCTGCTCTCACAATCTCGCACCCGTCGGTCCTCCAGACCTTCTGGACTCAGCTCACGGAGGCGTTCTTGGTGGCTCTTGGGGGGCCCCTATTTTGACTTTGCCTCCGAGCTGGACTCGCCCTTGGGCCACCGTTGCCTGGATCCTAGAGCCGGGCGCCTCCCAGAATATTTTCACAACTGAGCAGTCGTGAATTGCAGCCGACCCGACAATACCTGCCCTGACTCGCCATGCCATCGATAGTCGCACTCTGCTCATTCTTCACCTCGTCTGGATACGTCTTGATCTTGGCTGCATCCGCAGCCCTACCTTTGTCGCCCTGCTGTGCCATCGCGCCCCCGTAGAGCCAGCCACAGGTGGGGGTTGGGCACGCCGAACTTGTCGAGTTATGCTACCTGGTTGCCTGGCTGATCTCCTGGCGATACTGCTGTCTGGGGCGGGCCGCCGCCTTCACATAAGACTGACCCGTGAGCTCCAGGCCGGTTCCAATCTCGCGAGTCACGTCGAGGCGTACCTGACGAAAGACCGCATTCTCTCTCAGGCCGCCACGTTCTGCGCATTCTTGGCGGTTGCCCGGACCACGATCGGTCGTTCATCTGGGGGTCGTGCGTGCAGGTCGGATCCAACAGGCAACACCTGTCCGGACGAGCCGTTTTCCCTGGGAGGGGGGGCGGCGCTGTGGGACGCGAGGTCCCAGGTCCTGGCGCGCCTGGCCCCCCCCGCCGCTACCACGCCCGCCGTGCTCGCGGGCCCCAAGGCGCTCGCCGCCGCGGCGGAGGGAGGAGGCCCTCGAGGAGAGGGTTCCTGCCTCCTTCGCACCTGTCCCCCTCTGTTCGAGGGAGAGCCGACGGGGGGGCGAGGGGGGAACACTGGCCCGTGGAGGAGGGGGAACGGTGGCCCTGGAATTCACGACGCGTCGCCGATGCATCCACGGTGGGCCTCCGACGCTTGGCCCCGACGCTGGTCGCCCCACGCTGGCCGACGCACTCCGCCATGAAAATGGCGGCGTTGGCTCCCCGACATGATTCAGGCTGCCCTCGCCCAACAATACCCTCCCCTCCGTCCACCTGGGCCGAGTGGCTGGCACGCTGACATGAGTTACGAAGTGCTGCTAACCGTTCTGGAAATACCTCCGCACGATCGAGTACAGAGCCTTGGCCCGGCCAGCCCGCCCGCCCGGCAAACACGATAGCCCCCTCTGGAAAGGAAGCGTCCTTGCAACGGGCCCATCTTGGTGTTCGCAAGCTGAGAGAACACGCTCTCCAGCTCGTTCTGGAACTCGGGGCGTCTTTTGTGGGGGTGGCGGAGCAAAACGAGGGATGGAAGGAGGAGGGGAGGGGGCGGGGAGGGGCGAGAGGAAGCCGGGTGCAGAATAATAAAATCCGCATTTTATGGGTCCCGTTTTTCTTTAGATCCAGGCAAACTTTCTTGCATGGCGTTGCCCCACCCCTCGTCCGTCTTCAATCGAACACGAGCGTGCAAATGCCTGTCGACTTGCGTGATTGCCGCAGGTCAAGTCGTTTGCGGCTCGCTTCAGGTTCAGCTCCCCCCGTCAACGCAAGTAAACTTGCAAGAGTCTTAAACACAGGCTCATGTCTTTCCAGAGGAGCAGGTCGACCGACGTAGCCTTAAAACCTCCAAGGTCGCGAGCGAAACGCCCTGGACCCGAGCGAGGAGGAGGCTGAAACGCGGCTCAGCAGAGTCGACATGCAACACTGATCAAATCAATGTAAACATAAATGTCAGGGGTCTGCGCGGATTTCTCGACGGGCGCTGGACCCTTCTGGCGGCGCCTCCGACACAACCCCTGGGATACGGTAAGCGTCGATAACTAGATCCTCCACAACCATCATTCGAGATCGGCGGGATGACGTCAGCCTGTTCAGTAAACGTGTGGGCTCTCATTCAACACTGCAGCCCAGGGGCTGATGTGTATTCGATGGAATGGTGGGTTATGACCACACCGAGTACTAATCATATGAATCCAGCCCCCCGAACCAGGGGAAAGGGTCCTAGGTATTGCGTTGCATTGCTTGGCAAAGCGTTGAATTGCTTGAGGTTGCTTGGCATTGATTGGACTTGCTTGGGGGTGCTTGGCATTGGTTTGCATTGCCGTGCATTGCTTGTCGTTGCTTTGTGCTCTTCGGCATTGATTTGCTTTGCTTTGCGTTGCAATGGTTGGCATTCAATGCCATTGCCTGAAAACGCCTGGCATTGCGTTGAATTGATGTGCACTGCATTGCATTGCTTCGTATTGTCAAGCAGTGCCTGGATGTGCTTGACATCGGTTGGCATTGGTTGGCATTGCTTTGCAACGCTTCGCATCGCTTGCCATTGCTGTGCATTCCCTGTGTTTGCTTTGCTTGGTGTCGCTTTGCTCCCCAGTCAGGCTTGCCTGAGGGGTTCTTCGATTTGCTCTGTGCGCTGGCAGGCTGTCCTCGGGGTTGCAGGTTGCCTGGCCTTCCTTGGGGTGGCCCAGCCTCCTTCGGGTGGCCCGGTTGCCTGGGGTTGCCCGCAGTCCGTTTGCTCAAAGGTGTCCCCAATTTTTCGCTCTACTTTGGAGCCCCGGGGGCTCTCTGGACCTCGTGAGGGGTGCTCTGGAGGCCGTGGGGGACCTCCCTGGGAATCCTGGGGGCACCTCGGGCCGGGGGGGCACTTCTAGCAACACCCGATTTTTGTCCAAAGACTTTCGTGGATCCCAGCGCCAGGGGCTCGGAAGAGGCCAGGGCCGGGAAGGTCGGGGGGCGAGGGGCTTCGTGGAGGGCAGGAATCAAATCTCAAACCAAAGCGCAAAAGATGATATCCACATGAAGAGACAGGGAGCTTCGCCCCTTCCCCTCCTCCTCCTCCTCCTCCTCCTCCTTCTCCTCCTCCTCCTCCTCCTTTGCCTCCCCCCCCTCCTCCTCCTCCTCCCTCCTCCTCCTCCTCCTCCTCCTCCTCCTCCTCCTCCTCCTCCTCCTCCTCCTCCTCCTCCTCCCCCTCCTCCTGCTCCTCCTCCTCCTCCTCCTGCTCCTCCTCCTCCTGCTCCTCCTGGGGCATCGCTTACAGAAACAAAAACAAAAAAACGTTGATTTTCGTCGACTCGATGGCAACCGGCTGGATGATGCACACGAGCACGGAGAGGATGGTGCGACCATATGGAGGCGAGGGCACAGGGAGGGCTTCGGGGCCAACGCATCGCTTTCAGAGAAGACAGCGTGACCCTCGTCGATTCGATGACAACAGACCAGGTAAATCAGACGAGCACGGAGAAGATGTGGTGACAATCTTAGAGACGAGGGCATAAAGGAGGGCTTCGGGGCCAACGCCTGATCGGACTGAATCGCCATCTTCACGATGGAGGCTGTCCGCTCTGGGATGAGAATGATGGTCATTATGGAGGTGCCTGCGTGGGAGCCCATGGCAAAGCCATGGCCCCTGAGCAACCCCCCGCGTATGCCGCGCCCCGCGTGTCACATGTCTGCACTCCGTCGTCCTTCTGCCTCCGAGTTTCTGCTACTTTCTGCTGTTGATGTTGTGCATCGTCGACATGGTTGCCATGGCAATCGCGGTAGCGGCTGTCGTCGACATCGTCGAACATGTCGTCGTTGTCAAGGCCGTCATCGTCGCCCCCGCAATGCATATCGCTTCACTCTCTTACTCGAAGCAGTGTGGGCGCCTCGCCTGAATTGGCAAGCACATGAGCGCGATAGCAAGCCATACCCCCCCGCAGTTGAGGAACAGAGTGTTGGGGCGGCGGGGGGGCGTCGGCAGTTTGCGATGCTTGAAACCAACTGTGAAGAAACCCGACGCAATTACGCAACGGGCTCCTGTTGCTGTACTCACGTGGCACCCCTCTAGAGCCCCCCCCCTCCGCAGACGCTTTGCACATTCATATACTCATACTCTGTGATTGTCTGAACTATCTGTGTACCATGTCTCTCCTACTCCCTCTGTAGCTCCTGCATCTTATTCTTCTGAGTCTCCCAGTATTCCTCGAGCTCCACTCAGGACCCGCCTCAACTCAGGATATGATCGTCCTTCTCTATCTCGTCGACATCGTCGTCGCAGTGGTTGTCGTGATGGAAAGAACCATCATGTGGCCCACCTTCTGAATAATATGAGCTTCCTGTTTGTGGTTGTTGTTATTTCTCTATCTCTCTCGTGCTCTCCCTTACTCTGTCGCCATCTATCTTTCTCTCTCCCCCTCTCTCTCTCTCTCTCTCCGTCTCACTCTCCCTCGCCCTCGATCTTTTTTTGTCTTTCTCTCTATATCATTTGTTTGTTTCTCACACTTCTTATATGTGTATATATACATATAACAAATCCTCCCACAAAATCCCCACTTAGCGTCGAAAAAGAGATCCACCACGACAAGCGCTGAGGACCCCGCGGTCAGCAATTCCAAGAAGGCCCCCCAGCGAGACCTCTTCGGCCAGTCCTCGCTTCCCCGTCGCCGCCGCCCCTTAGATACTAACTCCTTGGAGGTCTTCGTGGACACAGCTCAAAATCAAGTCCACAAATCCCGATGAATTGGGCTGCTTATCAGATTTAAGTTACATGTAACATAAGACAAAGCCGTATGAAGCTGAAACGGGATGGCTTCCAACCACAGATGCACCAGCGCCGATGATGCATTCCCGCAAAGGATTGTCGCAGGAGCCTATGGACGGCTCCCAGTGGGAGGGCGACCAGGAGCATACCTTCGGGCTGCTGAACGTCACCTGGTCCGCCTCCGGCGTCAGGCTGAACACCTCTCGTCACCCCGAGGGGAAGGGAATCCGATCTCAATGAGCTGATTGCTGCGCAAACGGGCATCATGAACAAAAGCTCGGTCTTCATCGTTTAGCTCCCTACAAGAGTTGCTCGTCAGTGCCTCAACGAGCTCCCCTTTCACCCAATCGGAAGAGGCTCGCGCCGCTTGCATGGCGAATGTGTAGGAGCTGGTGATGACGAGGTGGGCCGACTTAGGTTCTAGGCTAAGGCAGCGTCCTCATGCTCAATATCTCGCAGTACCATTATTTTCGTTTCTCCTCGTCCTCCTCCTCCTCCTCCTGATTATGCTTCCCCTATCCCCACCACCCCTCGTACTCATCCTCTTAATCGGTGTCGTCCCCATCTCTTCTCCCTTTCCTGTTGGCACTGCTCCTCCCGACCAGCTGAATGCCTCGCGATGGGATGATCGAGTGCTTCCTCACGCATGGCAGCACGCCGATGCGAACACGCCGAGGGAGGAGGGAGCAGGAGAGGGAGACTTTCGACGGTTTTCGCTGATCTCCAAGCGAGTCCATTGGATGAGCTGAGTTTGTGGGATGGGGATGCGAGAAAAATTGGGAACGGAAGGAGGGAGGTGGAGGGCGGTGAGAGCGATGGGGTGGACAAGGACCACAGTAAACCAAAGATGCATCAACGAAGCTGCCACGCAACGTCCCGTCCCGAGTGCCCCCAGAAATCCCGGCAACTCATCCGGCTCACTGCAGGAAGCGCCCCCCTGAAGGCGGAGCACGCCGTTGACATGCGAGCCAGTCGCGAGCGCAGTCTGGAAGGGACCTGCCCTGCAGGCCAATGTTAGACACGCGGAGCAAAACCTCACGGGGTGTCCAGCGTCAGCCCCGTGCGGAAGAGGAGCCGCTCCGGGCCAGAGCGGATGCGGCCTGCACGAGTTTGGGATGCTGGACGTGCTGTCTGAGGACCCCCTCCAGCGACGACCCCGATCTGAAAAGGAAGAGCTCTCCATCGACGCAGCTGTCTCACGTGCTCACGCGGCTGGCCGTCGATTGCTTCGGGCATCGATGGATCCTGAATGCCACGCGATCACCGATCTCCGGAGGCAGCGGGCTGTGCCCCTCGCAGTGTGGCGGACCAGGGAGGCCCAGCACACCAAAATTCGGAACTGGAAGAGAAAGGCTCGCTTCCTACAACAAGGCAAGCCGCGGAGAACTGTTCCTCCCCGCCCGCCCCAGCCCACCTCCCCCCCTCGACTGCGCGGCAGCGTTAGCGCGAAGCGTGCCACGGGGGGGGGGGGGTTCGAACAGAGGAAGGAGGGAGGAGGAGGCTTGACGGGAAGCGGGAGAGGGGCGAGGAAGAGGCAGCGCCTGGGCTTCAGATGTCGCCTGGCCAGCGGATATCTTGGAGCTTGCACGAGCACAAAAAGCTTCAGGTGCCTGCGTGCAACGGCTTGCAGATAGAAAGGGACGGGATGGGAGGTCCTCCCTCCCCTCGCCTCACGATCTTTCTGCCCATCATCCTGTCCCACCCCTCGACTGAGGAGTGGCTCGAGCGCAGGACCGCGGGGAAGACTGAGACGCGCCATGGCAGGAAGGGGTCTAGTACAATGAGAGGGAAGACGGAGGATGACGAACGGGTGGACAGGAATAGCAGGATTCAAAGTTTCTAGTATCGTGTGGCTGGCGCATTGCTGGGACCTGGACATAAGAGCACCTTCGAGCACCGCGGAATGCATAGAGACCATGTGCAGAACGGAAGAAGGACAGTAACATCTGAGACCACAAGGATGCGCATTATGAATGCGTAAGTATGGCGGCACAGATACCGTGCGAAGGCACGAAGTAATGGTGCCCTTAAAGGAAGGCGGTCCTCGAGAAGACGATTGGCGGCTACGACTGCGCCGCGGCCAGGCAAAAACAGCACGCAAATGCGGCGCCCTCAAGGGAAGGCGCAAACGTAGAGTCGGAGAAAACAGCCGTGCGTCGGAGCGGAGGTGTGAAAAACCTCTCCCATCTCGAGTCGCACGGCCTGGAGTGCCCCAGTCATCGTGTGAGGATGGCGCGCTAGCTGTCTCCTTTTGGCCATTCGCTCCACGCGGTCGTCAGCGTCGGCGCGTGCCAACGCAGGGGAATCGGGCTTCCCCAACGCGTGGCCGAAGTCTGAGGTGCACAGCGCGAGGGCAGCGTCGTCTGGGAGCTTCCAGCGCTGCTCACCCGCCACCTTCGATCCACGAGGAGCCTGGGTAATCGGGCGACGTGAGACGCGTCATAGAGCTAGTCGTAGTCTGCCCCTGACAGTGCTCGCGCAGCATCGCTTCCAACAATGTCTGGTCCTAGGGCTCCCAACTTCGCGCTTCGCGCTGCGCGAAGCGCGAAGCGCGAATAACTTCGCGCTCTCGCGCCGCCCTCCCAAAGGGAGAATAGGAGGACGAGGAGGAGGGGGAGGAGAAACGAGGACCGCGAAGCGCGAATAACTTCGCGCCCTCGAGGGAGCCCTTGCCGCAGGCACCTGCTGCTCCGGCTAAGTCTGGTATCTGCGGGCAGACGCGGTGCGCCCACGAGTTCCAATGAGGGCGACGCTGAACTTCTGGCGTTCCGCGTCGTCCCGGGCGCCTGCTCTGTTTCGTGGGCGAGCCGTTCCCGCTCGAGCTCCTCCTCCGCTGGAGAGAGGGTCTTCGGCGGCACGTCGGGCATGCTCGCCCAGGCCGCATCATCTGCGGCAGTCGACGGAAGACTAATCAGCCTCGCAGGCCGCCAGAGGACAAAGCCGTGGATGTGGTGCCGAGAGTGCCAGCGTCGGGCTGCCCCGTCGCATCTTCCTCCTGTATCCTGCGTTGAGCGCTGGCTTTCGCCTGAGCATTCGCCCTCTTCCATCTTGGGGTCAAGATGAGGCCTGCTCTCGCAACTCCTCTCCCCGCACACAATCCTTCTATCTCTGTCCCCAAGCCCCCCAGGTTCGGCCAAGGGCGGCGAAGAGAAAAAAACATATGAAACTGCGAGCGGGCGCGGGAGCAACATTCGTGCACGCACGCACACATCATGGCAGAGTGCAACATACCCTGATCAACCGCTGCTTCCCCATATCATCCCAACACGAAAGACGGAGGCAGATGCGGAGGCTGAAGTAGATGGCCCGAGGAGGACTGTGGCTGACATGCGCCGCGTAGCTCTCCCTATACGGGGGGGCAGCGGCTCTGTTTGGTCTAGATGAGCTGCTACCGCTGTGAGTGAGAGGCGGCGCGACAGGTTCCCCCATTGCTTTGCCGCTCAGTGGTGGGGGCGCATCCCCGTCAGGCATTCTGGTAGGTTGCCGAGCATTCCTCCGAGGTGCCCTGCTTTCTTATGGGCACTCTTGCCTGACCCACCGTTTGCGTCGCGAGGGAAGGTTCGGCTATTGTGCATTTGGCAAAGATGCAATTATGCATCCCACAGCTCAGGTTCGGTATTTTTTTTCGCCATCACGTCGGCACAATGAGCCGTCGTTCTGCAGCGGCGTATCTTGCGCTGCTCGGACCGAATAACCTCGACCTACCTGTCCAGGCAGATGCGATGGGTTTGAGGCATGTGTGGTAGTGCACTTGTTTTACAGTTAAGTCGGATGTTGATCGCCGCTTCTCGGCGACGATCAAATTTGTCCTTTGCCTCCGAATAAAAGCACCGATCCTCTCGGTAACCCCATCTGGTATATGCAATGGTTGATCCGAAAGCACGTTGTCTGAATCTTACCATTCGTAGGCTCCTCCGGCGCCAAGTTGCCCCAGCGCTTTCTGGGCAAGCTGGACATCGGTACAGGCTCCAGGAAGCGCCTTGCAGACGTCATCTAAACACGCCGCATAGGCAGGGGCTCGACCCTCGAGCAGGTGTCTACCGCCACAATCTCAGTCTCGGCCGATGATTGAGATAGCACTGTCTGCTGTCTGCTTCTTGCATATGCAATCGATCGGAGGCCCAACGAGGGGAACGGCTGGTCTGAGCGCAGCCTCATACGAAACCCTCCAATGCCCCACCGCGCTGGCGGCGGGTTGTCCCATAGCGATTGACCTTTCCAGTGGCCCGTGATGGGTGATCTTGACTTCTACCATTGGTACGGTCTATAGGTACGGCTTGTCCGTACCCTGCTTGCTGCTGCCTAGCAGTTTGTTTTCATCTCTCCGCGCCGAAAGACGCATCGGAGATTATGGTTTCGATGCTAGCTTCAAGCTCGCCCGAGCTGACCATCTTAATTGACCATCTTGATTACAATGCATCGCGCTGCTTCGGCTTATAAGCTGAATCTCTGAATGTAAGGTGGAAAGGCCTACGGGCCTGATCCGAGCCCCTGCGCTCGATGGCCTCGGCTCGCCTGTGAAGGCCGCCGCTTTCCCCAGGGTGGTGAGTTCTTACTTGAGATCCGTTTGCAAGAACAGGCGCAGCAAGAGAGAGAAAGAGAAAGAGAAAGAGAGAGAGAGAGGGAGACAGCGCTGTGCTGTTGACACTGCGCTGCTGCTGCGCCGTTGATTGACACTACGCTTTTGACACTGCGCTGTTGGCACTACGCTGTTGGCACTACGCTGTTGACGCTGCGTTGTTGACACTACGCTGTTGACACTACGCTGTTGACACTACGCTATCGACACTAGGACGACGATGACTGCGCGCGTGCCCTCTGTGCCTCCCGCTGCGCGAGCCATAGATGCTGCGCGCCGGGCGTCCTCTCCTCGGTCCCCGGAAGGGAGCGGAGCAGGGAAGGCAGGAGCAGAGAAAGGGGCAGGTCCGGGACGGGCCCACGGGGCCGACCCAGACACCCCACCGGGAGCGCCGCTCCAGAACTGAGCACGCCTGCTCCGAGGGATAAGACACACAACTCTCGACCGCTTCCCCGGGATCGTTGTTCATCCCGGGTCGTCTTTCGATGGTGCCGAAGACCGGTAGTGGCCCCGAGGAGCCGAAGACCATGTGGGCGTGTTCTGCATCGGCGCTTCGACACTGGGCTGAAAGTGTGGGGGGATGGGGGGGGTGTCTGGCGCTGGACCTCTGCTTAGTATGCGGCTGCTTGCAACAGTGGGTGCGATGGGGGAGACCCCACCTGCTCGAAACGGGCGCCGACACGCAGCAAAGATCTACTCCACGTGGGCGGGAGCGGGGTGCGGGGGCTCGCGCCGACCGGCAAAACGATGAATAAGAGAACGCTCACGATGAGACATCGCCGTTTCGACCTGCTTCGAGACGCCTGATGTCTGGGACATGGGGGGCCAACGCATCGGCTGCACGCAGCTCCTTTTCGCCGGTGCCGCCAGGCGCCAGGGGCGGCCACGTGCCAGCATCCAGGACGGCAACGGGCGGTGGAGCCGAAACCAGCCGAGTGCAGCAGATGTCATACTCCATCCCTTGGTCCCAGTCACTGTCCGCCCCGAGCGTCTCGCCAGGGGCCAGATCCTTCAGGCGATGGGAGCAAAAAACGAATCACACGCAGGAGCTGGAGAGGACGCAGGAGGAGAGGGATGAGGATGGAGAGGATCAAGCAGATAAGGTGGAGGGTAATTTCCCCTCCGCCATCTCCGCGTCATACGCTACCAAGGATTTCTTGGGTTGGCGCTTGACTCCCCATGCCTTGGCGCGCGAAGCGCGCCTGGCGCCGCACTGGAGGCGCCGCCATGAGGGGTTCCTCGCAGGCCCCAGGATATCCGAGCGGGCCTCCGAAATTCATGGTCATGCCGCCAACTTCTTCTTCGAGATGGGGAGCATGGGACCGGGATCAGGAGCAGGATCCCGCGACGCGGGCGGGAGTGCAGGAAGGGCCGCAGGAAGAGGATGGAGACAGGGAGGAGGACGAGGACGAAAAAGAGGCGAACGGGGTGCCTCCAGGTCGTCGCCGCACACCTTCTGAATGGCAGAGGCGACGAGGCTGGAGGCGGATCTCGCGTCGTCCTGGCACGGAACCAGCAAGGCGTCGCGAAAGATCCACGACGGGCGTTGGTTTCACCAATTGGGCCTTCGAGAGACGCTTATGGGCCCCCAGAACCGTCGGATACAGACTCGGCTGCACGCATGAGTGGCCCTGGGCAACAGTGACCTTTGGTGCGTAGCTTCATGGGCGAGCGGGGCGAGGGGGGAGTGGGCAACCAAAGCGAGCAGGACAACGGGTCTTGGACGCTGCGATCTTTCTCAACACTTGGGGGTTCTTACTTCAATTGCTTAAAAAATTGGACGGGCACGCCGAGGATTTCCCACGTTGACGCCCCGTGACGCCCCTTGGTCGCTCGTAGGCGCCCCGTGCGCTGGGTGGCCTCATCGTCCACTGACCATTTGAGATCATATCACCCCAGCCCAGCTGGTATCGACATGATGTCTGTTAAACAATATCATGCGCGGACACGCATACATCTCAGAACCTGTTGGTCGATAGCCCCCTAGAGCAAAACCAGCACAAGAACACCTGTGCCCACATGTCGACATAGTACCATGCACATTAGCTGAGGAAGCGCTTCAACAGAGGAACATGTTAGCCAGCGTCAGCCTAAAACGGTTATACTCTTGCAACATTCGCGGTGCAACTTAGGTGTTGCAATCAACAATGTGAGGCAATCTAGGTGGTGCAACCTATGTATGTGGTGCAATTCACTTTGACCGTCTTGAAGCTGCCCTCTCTACTGCTCGTGCAAACATCCCACCCTCCCACCCGCAACTTGGTCGCAAGACTTCTTAAGACAAGACCGTGACGGTAGGTACAACATGGCACTTGGCCACGACACCGACGCCGACGACGACAGCGACAACGACGACGACGGCGCCGCAGACACCGACGACGACGACACCGCCGACGTCGACGTCGACGAAGACGACGACGACGCCGACGACGACGACGAAGACGACGACGACGACGTCGCCAACGGAGACGACGACGAGGGAGGAGAAAAAACGACGACGGCGACAGCGACGACAACGACGATGGAGGAGGGAAGACGGCGACGACGCGACCGACGAAGAAGGAGGAAGGGCGGCGACGCCGACGACGACAACGACGAGGGAGGAGGGAAGACGACGACGACGACAACGACGACGAAGACGACGACGACGGCGACGAAATAGGAGGGACGACGACGAGACGCCGACGACGGACGACGACGAGGGAGGAGGAGGATAACGACGAGGGAAGAGTGAAGACCACGACGACGACGACGACGGCGACGAAATAGGAGGGACAACGACGAGACGCCGACGAAGACGACGAGGGAGGAAGGACGACCACGGCGACAACGACGACGGAAGCGACGACGACGCCAAGACGACGACGACGACGACGCCGAGGAAAGACAGACGACGACGGCGACGACGACGACGACGACGAGGGAGGAGGGAGGACGCCGACGACGACGACGACGACGCAAGAGCGCGCGCGCACGCTTTTGTTGAAAACCCGTGTTGCGAAACCTTGTGTTTTTGTAGGTTGTTTGGACACACGATTTCGGAATCCTTCCGAAACCGAAGGTTTTTGTTGAAGGATTTCGGCATACGCGCGGGACTTCGCGCGCGTCTGCACTTCGTCCCATTTTTTTGCAGAGGATTCTCGCGACGGCACACGCGCAAGGGCGTTCGACAGATTTCGGCATGCGCGCACGAAGCCCGTTTGGTAGCATTTTGAGAAAATCTTGAAAAACTCATGGTTGCCTTAAGATTTCGCATGAGCTCGCACGTAAGTTTTTGTAGCAAACCAGTGTTGCGAAACCCTGTGTTTTTGTATGTTTTTGGGAAACTCAATTTTGAAATCTCTCCAGAACCGAAGGTTTTTGAAGGATTTCGGCATGCGCGCGCGACGACGCGCGCGTGCGCACTTCGTCCCATTTGTTGCAAGGGATTCGCGAAAAAGTCTTATGTTAGAGCAAGAAATGTCACCGCATAGTGGTTCAGACAAGGGAACCTCAGGGGGGGGAAACCGGCCTAGCTGGGATGGTATGACTTCATATTCTTAAGATGGACGAGTGTGCAGAATAAATATGAAATCATATTACCCCATGGGGAACCGATCAGTCCGGGGGGGGGGGTCGAGTCTATTCTTTTTTTAGATAGGAGAATCTGTGTTGTGCGAAGAAACGCAAAACAATGCGAAGCAATGCGAAGGAGCGCAATGAAATGCAAAACAATGCAATTCAATGCAACTCGATGCAATACAATGCAATGCAATGCGACGCGACTGCATCACAGTGTCAAACAATGCCCGGCACTGTAAATAAATGCGAAGCAACGCAACGTAATGCACATCTATGTAAAACATCACAAGGCATGGCAAGGCATGGCAATGCAACACAAATATATGAAAAGCGATGAACATCAAAGCAAGGCAATGCGGAGCAATGCAAAGCAATGCAAAACAACGCGAGGCAACGCAATGCGATTGCAACGTGACGCGGTTGCAACGGAATGCGATCGTAACGGGTTGACATTGCAACGCAGTGTAAAGCAACGCCATGCACTGCGATAGCAACGCAATGATACGCGATTGCAACGCACTGCGATTGCAGTGCAGCGGGGGGGTCCAACTGAGCGGCAAAGACGGACGAAACAGGGCTTTTTTTCCCCCTGAGGCTTCAACCACCTTATCTGTCCCGCGTTGGGGCTTGCACCCAGGCTGCACATGGCGCTTGCAGCCTGCAACAAGAAAAGGCGCCTTGCAATCACCCTCAAACAGATGGGCGAAGGGAGGCGACGAGGCAAAAGCAGGCACCGAATCCCTGAAGGATTGGGAACCCGAGGCCAAACGCCTGTCTGGACAAACGTGAGACAAGTGCAGCACCTTCGACCAGAGCAATACAAAAATAGAGCGGCTATTAATCTGAGTCGTCCTGATCAGCGTCGGGATTTGAGCTGGGGACAGACGGAGCGGCGCCAGCCGCGATACAGAGACGACGAACCCTGGCCTGGAACTCGCTTGCCTTCTCTTCCTTCCTCAAACGATCTGCCAACTCACGCAGCGGGTGCATGGGTCTAGGGGCAGCAGGCGGATGAGGAGGAGGGGGCACGGGTTCACTCACAGCCGTGGGCAACTCGTCCTGAAACAGATTAGAGCCGTCACGAAGATTAACTCCCAACTGCACCACCACCCCCTTTCTCTTAGGGTGACGGCTCTTGCAGATCTGCTGCCAAACCCAGACTCCGAACTTACTGGGAGGGGGGTCGCAGCGAGCAGCCAGTCCACGGAGGGTACCGTGGGAGGAGTAAAACTTACACTTCATACAAATCACAAGCTCAGACCCGTCACTGCACGGGAACATCACACACTTGTGCTGAAGGGCGGTGAGCTTGTCGGCACTGCAGGCTTTTAAACCAGAACAACGACCAGGAAGGGGTTTCGACCCGTCCCGAGGCCGACGAATCTGGAAACACCGAGAGCAGCGCCAAAAGCCTTCAAACCTAAACCACTTGTGAACGTTACCAGAAGCAGCTTTGGGCACGTTCACCACAGGGAGGTAAGGCACATCTTTGATAGAGCTGAGAGCTGCAAGCTCTGGCAGCAACTTAGCCGCGAGCTTGCAGGCAGCCCTGGCAAACTTCACACACTCGTTAGCTTCTTCCAGCACTATCGAGTCTGAGGGATGAAACGCAAGGGCCTCCTTGGCCCCTTGGTCGGCCAAGTGATTCCCCAGACGAGCGGCTTCCTCCTGAGCTGAGATGCCTTCCTCAGCCAAGGACTGGTGAGCCTTAATTTTGAGCAATTCACGAATGTGACGACGCTCGGGCCTGGACAACAGCAGAACAAAGACACCAGAATACATACGTTTGAAAAAGGTTTGAGCATCCCTTGGAAGCTCATGTTGGGTAACAACGTTGGCACAATCGGTGATGATCGAGCTGGGGCCAGTGAGACACATAACCGCCCCCCAGTATCCCGAAAACTCGCCGGCCTGAGGGGTCTGAGGGAGCGGGGCCCACACAGGGCATCTCATAGTACACAGCAGCTTATCATCGTCGGAAAACAAAACCGCACACCAGGCCGCACGATTCAGCTCTTTTATAACGTGCCGAGGGCAGGAACCGTCAACAAAAACTTTCCCCTGGAGGCTGAAAACATTGTCTGAAGGCGGGTCCCCGCGCCACGAGGCGTCCCAGGACCCCTCTTCGAGCGGGGGGGGGTGTTCGTCACCAGGATGAGCCAGGATGCCTCGGGTAACCAGAGTCAAGCGATGTCTTCCCTGCGAAACGAAGTCCGTCACCCCGTCGACGATATCATCCCCCACAGCTTCACGACGTTTGGCGTCCAAACAAGGACATACCCATAACCTGTGGTACAAAGTGTCACGAGCCTTCCCACACAACTCACAAAACTCTGGGAACTCGTACCCTTTGGACCTGGCGTAGGTGCGAGTCCACACCGCACCCGTACTCCAGGCTCGGATAATGCCCTTTTCAAGCGGAGAAAAACGTCTGGTAGCTAGAGCTTCATGGACGACATCGAGGCAGCCCCGACCAGGGAGGGAAAGCTTACCTCCAATCATCCACTCCAGCTGTCTGAAAACCGCCTCCATGGCGAGACGGCGCACGAGAGCAGGCGACAGGCACGTCAACGGCAGCTCCACGCCGCGATCGTCGATCAGCGTGGCGAAGTTGGGCATCTGCCAACTGATCCTCTCGAGACTTTTCCTCATGGCTGAGATTGGACCTGAAACAGATCTCCAAGACTTAGATTCCAAACCAAAAACCGACCCCCACGCTTCTCTCATTTCAGCAAAACTCAAAACCGAGGGGTGAGAGGACAAATGGGCGTGCCAGAGTTCCTTATGCCACCTACATATTGGAGCAATCTGAACCGCCCAGGTGGGGTCCTTTTCCAGATGCAGAAGAATCGAAAGCGAGCGGTCACCCGCACTCGGCTTGATAGTACTGGCAAAGGACCGTCTTAAAGCCAAAAGTTCCCCGTCGGAAATCCCTGAGAT